TGTCCTCAAACTCTCAAAGCACCTGTATTTCACCCAGAAAATTAGCAACCCAAAAGAGATAATGTGATTCTTATTCTGCTTTGTGATTGAATGATCCACTTGAAAACCACAACATAAAAAATTTTGCTAGTTGCCACCCTTTATTCCTTTTAACATTTTGATCAGAACAGACCACAAATCATTTGTCTCTTGTCTCTGGGGACACAAATAACATTTTTATAGCTGATGATAAAAAATGTAATACAGCATTGTGCCCCTGAAACGGTAGTTGTAAAATTCCCTATTACCATCCACTATCAATCATAAAGTCATGCAGGTGAGGCACATAGGTCAAATAGTACTGTTTACTAAAGTAAGCAACTGCTGCAATCCATCAGACAGACAGACAGAAACAAGCTGTTGTTTTACATTACAAAGGTAAATTGAGTAATTGATTGAAATGTAAATTGTTTTGTCAAATGAACTTTATGCCTGTCTCTAGATGTTGTGTTTTTATTGAGATTGAGAGCCTGAGACAATCTTACCTCTTTTAGTGTGAAATATTAATGATTCGATTTGATTTTCAGAAATGATTGAACCTGGAGAATGTAGCAAGTTTGGTCTGTAAGAAATCTGACCCACTTGGTTGGATGACATTTGAGGGCAATTGCTTGCTGATGAGTGAGATGAGACTGGCTTTGAAGGAGAAACTTAGTGCTGGATTACCTTTTTTCTGCAGTTTTACTCTCAGGCTGCTGCAGATGTGTCCTCATGGTTCACACATTTAAAATGATCAAATGTATGAAATGTAATCAGTTTTGTGTATTTGGTAGTCATGTTTAGCCCCTGGTTTAAAAAGCAGCTGTAAAGAGTGCTTCCTCTCTATGTTCCTCTTTCAAAGAACAAAGCATGCAATCACACTTCCACCATGCTTCATCTGTATTCACAGTAGAAACTGGTGTAACTCTTCAATTCACTTTGCTTTGACCGTTTGGAATTGCTTGACAAGGGTTAGTCATTATAATAATTCACAATCCTTTGACTGCTTGACTTGTAGATAATGTAAAATGACTCGTGCTTGGGATTATCATACTCTATTGGAAAATAAAAAGCGTGCACTGACGTGCGTTGGCACCCTGATGTTTATATCCTGCTTTCGCTGCATGTGTCTAGTTGTTGTACCCACCATGCCGCAATAACGCATCTGCCAACATGCCAATATTCGCACCAACATACTTTACCATCGACTCGATGCATGAACCGTTATGGATGCCCCTTCAGACTTCATGTATTTAAATTGAATTTATGTTGCCAGTACTTGAGTGACTGCTTCTACTAATTCACCACCTCTGTATAAATTCTGCATCATTCATTTTGGTCTCTTATGTTTGTCAAGTGCAAACCATATAGCTTTCCCCACTTTAATAGGAAGGACTCTTACAATTTAGGCCGGTTTCACTCAAACAGCTAGTGAAAACTTTTAAACAGAAAGCCTTCAAATAATTAGTAACAAGTAACACCTTTTTTATCTGCAAATAAATGCACATTGTTTTTAATGGGTTTCAAAATTAATTGTTTTAACAAAACATCTCATATTTTAATGGTCTTTTGACAAATTATGATAATAATAATAATAATAATGCATCGGTTTTATATAGCGCTTTTCTGGACACTCAAAGACGCTTCACATGTGTCATTATTCATTCACTCCATACACGGTGGTGATAAACTACTGCTGTAGCCACAGCTGCCCTGGGGCACACTGACAGAAGCGAGGCAACCAGTATGCGCCATCGGCCCCTCCGACCACCACCAACCATTCACACACACACCAGACTCATTCTAGGCAATGGGGGTGAAGTGTCTTGCCTAAGGACACAACGGCAGTTTGGCACTTTACAGCCGCAGCCGCCCCACTGTGGCTGGTGTTCCCAGAGGTTAAGTGTCTTGCCAAGGACACAACGACAGTAGTCAGAGGGAGTCGATGGTGAAAGTCTTGAGCGGGGCTTGAACCCACGACCTTCTGGCTCAAAGGCCAAAGCTCTACCAACTGAGCTACTGCCGCCCACACTGTAGCTGTTTCTAGAACAGTAGAAACACACTGTTTCTACTCATAATTGTTTCATTGTATTTTTAACTGTAAACAACGTTTTAAATTAATATATTACATTCACTTCTAACAATTTATACGCTCTCTCAATGCGCGCTTCTGATGGGTGCAAACTACGTGACAATGTTGGAAAATGACCACTATATCATTGAATGCATTCGAAATATTGGATTGAAAGCGGGGTAAGGGAACTTAAGTGTTGGTGGGATCCCTTTTTGTTTCAGTATAGAAACTACTCACTTCAAAAACTATAATAGAACTGAGTTTCCATTTATGACTGTTACAGTTGTCATTATTCAGGTGCAGCGAAACTTGAAAATGGATAGTTTGTCAACTTTTTTGCTGTGTTCATTAAGTCTGCAGTTTTATGCAAACAAATGCAGCCAAAGTCAATATGGCAGTGCCCTCGGCTTCTTCTGAACAAAGGGGAATGGAAAGCAGAAAAGTATGATATTAGAAATATATTATGATATATTTTTCATACTCGACATGTGGATTTTTTCACTAGAGCCACAGTGACTGCCTCAATAAATCCTCCAAATGCTTGCTGTGATCACCCAACGGAGACGGCCTCCTTTGAAAATTCTGTGAACGGATGGATTGACTTCTGCAAAAAAAAGTGTAATTGTTTAAAACTCGTAATAAACAATGTTCTCACTAGGGGTGCAACGGTTTGAAAAAATCACGGTTCGGTTCGTACCTCGGTTCAGAGGCCACGGTTCGGTTCATTTTTCGGTTCATTTTTCGGTTCATTTTTCAAAAAAAAAGTTTTGTCTTTTTAATAAACACAGCTCATGTGGACTCGGCTTCTGCTCTGACTGCCCCCCCCCCTGACCTAGAAATGAATTAAGGGGAAGGAAATGGATGGATGGCATATTCCATCCATCCAATTATGTAACATAACATAACATAATTAATGAAAAACAACACAAAGTGCAACATAAGAAGGCACTTTATGAGGATATTTACCCTCATATATTAAACCACCTTCCTGATTCTCCCAAGGAGGCGCTCCATTCTGGGCCCAGCCTCATTCACTGCATTTATTTAATTTTTGGCATTATCAGTTGTGACTGGAATATTAGTACTGGGCCTTTGTCTTCCATTCCTCCGCTGCTGTGTCAGAACCTGCGCTGTGTGACTGTGTGACTGTCGTAGAGGGGGCGTGTCTGCAGCGCCAGACTTTTCATCTCCCAGTCTGCGGTGATGAAGTGAGCGGTTCCGCTCATGGATCTATTATAGGTTCCGCGGGACGTCCACGCGTCAGTCGTGAGCGCAGCTGAGGATGCGCGGGAGAGTTGACTTTAGCCCGGTCTGACTGTGCGTAAAGGAGCTGCTTAAATGCCGCGACAATAAGCGGTCATTGAGACGCTTTTTTCACTCATGTCTTTCTTGGTCCACAGTGCTTACACATCGTGACAGTTTTGTCAAATATTAATTATCAGTGTAGTTACAGTGAAGCCAAAATGCTCTCATACTGGGGATTTAAATGACGCAGGGCTTTCAAGTATCTCCGTTCCTCCGCTCGCAATGACCGCGCTGTGTGTGGACTGAACAACGTGCGCACAACTTTTTTTTCATAAATCAAACCGCGGATCACGTCTGTACCGAACCGAAGACGTTGAACCGAACGGATCACGGATCAGTGATGAACCGTTGCACCTCTAGTTCTCACACATCAGCATATTTGGAATGTGAACTGCTCCAAGTGATTTCAATTAAGCTGTAGTATTGGCGTGTCACTGAACCTTTACAGTGACTGAACTTTTCAGCCTGACTTTCTATTTCTGAGGGTTAAAGAAAACACAAATGTTTCCGTGAGGATAATTCAAATGTTAATTCAATTGGAGAATGTGTCGCTCCTCTGATGTGAACCAACTGAGCAGTTGCCATTTAAAAAAATCTAATCTCACTGCTTCAATTGATTTGAAAAATACTTTGACAGAAAGGTTGATTGCCTTGCACCTGGATGCAGAACTCATAATTGTTTGGAAATAGAAAAAACAGAGAAAAAGTCTGGTTACAAAACAAAATATGTGAAAAATATTGTGGTGGTGCACTCTAAATTGACTATTGTTATTGCCATTTTTTTCTTCATCTGTCAGTTTATCTATCATTTGACTGCAACATCTTTAGGGCTAATTATTTTCATTTCAAAAACAAGATGTTTGTATTTAGAATGTCACAACATTGACCGTGGCCTATAATGACGGCATGAGGAGGCTGCTGAGGGTTCCCACCTGTCCTGCAGTGCTGCACAGCCTCATACAGCTGCATGTACAGCTGCATAGTGCTTGTACAGCTATATTCAGCCCCATGTACAGCACGTACAGGCTCAAAGACTCAAGGAACAGTGTCGTCAGTACTATGACTGATCCGAAGTTCAGTGTGTCTGTGTTTTGTTTGTTCTGTCCAGTCTCTTTTAACGTCTATGAACCATGTGTCCAAAATAATATAACGATTATAATAAATTAATAATAATAAAACGATAACCCACAACATCTTAGGCCAGATCAAACTCGCAATCAGGGTTTATTTTTATTTTTTGTATTCATTGTTACTGTACGTCTCTTCAGTGGTTTTATTCCAAAATAGTTGAATTTATTTGGTAGATCACAAGCCAACAAAACTTCCTTTGTTCTAAATGGAATAATGGATTACCTTGATATTACCTAGTTTACCTTGAGGGAGTTCAGCATTAATAGCTGCTGTTTGTTATGTAAAATTAGTATGAAGACAAACAATACTATAATGTGTGTAGACCTTGATGTCTTCTACAATGTCACAGCATACATTCAAGTATCTATCCAAAATATGTTTACACTTTCTGCCGAGCTTCATGTGAGCGTAGATAAGGAGCCATACCCAGCTGCTGACTCACGTGCCTATTCCTCTGTGTGCTCTGTTACAGTCTCGGTCGGCAGTATGGGCCAACATCTTGGAAAGAGGGAGCCTTCAATGGAATCTAAGGTATGACTACTCTAAATTCTATTCCTCTTTTAGCTGTTACTATGTCAAAACCATTTCTATTATACTCCTGATCTGTTATGATAATGTTAAGTGGCCATTCCCACTGACCTTTATCAGCTGGACTTTAGACCCTGCTGCCTTACTTCTGCACTTGTTTTGATTTATGACTTTGAGCGAGGCTATGAAGAACATCGCGGCAGTCTTAAATCTAACGTTGAAGTAGCAAAATGCGAAAGATATTTTAAAATTTGAGTAGAAAAAGAGACAGCAGGAGAGGCACTTTGATTTGTCATGAAATGTTAGAGGTTCACACTATGGTGCGTTGTGCCATTTTTGATAATCAAATAATATATATAATAGACATAATTATATGAGCAACAGCATAGAAAGCATTCGGAGTTCCATATTCCACCTATTCCCGAAAGCAGTCAAGAAATGTTGCTTCGTAAGGATGGGAAGCAATAATTAATGGGCCCGATATTTGAAGTTTTTTAGATATCTGCAAGTTTTAACTTCTTCCCATCCAGCTGATTTGCTGCCATGGCATGATTTCTCATTTTAAAGTCAAATTTCTCCACAGGAAAGAATATCCAAACCCATATTCAGTAAAAGTTATAATTTGTACAAAATACCTCCATAATGTAAAAAAGTAACTTCAAAAATCATCTCAGATGCTATGGATGGCTCGTTAGCCAGCTCACTCTGGAGGGGTAGGCTGGTCCTGAAGGCCTGGACGACCTCCCTGACCAGATGCTGGATGAGCAGCTCAGTGGACTGAAGCAGTGAGGCTTCTTCTCCGTCGGTGGCCGGCGCGCTTTTGCGGTGTGCCTGGTGCAAAGCTGCTTACTCAAGCTATAAAAAAAAAATCGTCCAGATTCTTCATAAAATCCTTAAAAGGAACATTTTCTCTGAAATATCCTCCTAACTAGTAATAGCCACTATCCCATGTTTATTTGTGACCTTGAATTAAAACTAGAAACCCTTTAAATAGTCCATTAGCAAGTATTTCCAAATATATTCTGTATTTAAAAATAATAGAAAACAACATTGGAATAGAAAATGGAATTATTTATTGTTAAATTTCATGAATTAAGAATGATAATATTTGTTATGCTATATTTATTACATCCCTGTCACTACTGTTTTAGCATCGTTTCCATGGTTTATATTGTCAAGAGTCTCCTTTCAATCAGACACATTGATTTACAACATGGCTCCAAACAGCTGCGCGGAGAGTTTCATTAGGCAAGTGGCTGAAGGTCGTATCATGTCTTGTCCTTACATTTGCTTCAATAATGCATTCTGTAGTCTGTACTGGGAGCAGATGAGATTAGACGTTGGCTCCTAAGACAATCTCTGTGTCACCATGTTGGTTATATAGCTTATTTCATATAAACATAATAGTTCTTTCCCAAATATATTATGTACATGATCAGTCTATGAAAGCAAGTTTTAAATTATGATACCTAATTTGCTGAAAAGTCTGTTGAGGCAGGGGGGGGATAGCCACACATGTGTAATATGTTAAAGTGCCTGCTTTTCAGGGTAATGCTTTTTGTTACGACATCAAAACAAGTGGCATGGTGAAAGAACCTACACTTTAATGGTTACAAAATGTCCCCGTCTTCGCACACTTTTCAAGATACAAGTTCTTCGTTGAACAATCTTTGAACAATCTTCTTTGAACATGGTGATGACTGTCCGTTGCTGCTCTGTGTTCGCTGTTTGGGCATAAACTGGGATGGTAATGCGTTTAATGGCTTCATACAATTAACCTCAGGCTTGCGCAAGCTCCTTTTGTCACAGCTTTTCAAAGTGACTGCCAATATAATGAGTTTGCCCATTAGCTCAGAGGCTGCAATCAAACGAGGTTGCAGGATTTTTGTCAACTCTCCTTAGCCTGCACAGGAGAGGAAGGAAAAGATGCAACGGATAAAAGACCTCATCTCTTTTGAGGTTGTTGATCTGTATTATCAGGATATGGCCTGAAAATCAGTGGATCCAGGAGTTGCTAGTGCACACTATTTGTTTATGATGTCTATCCTCACTCTCTGCTCTTAGAAAATGTATGTGTGTATGTGTTTGGTTATTTTTTTCTACTAGTGTGAATCACTTTCAGTATTTTGCATTCGACTATCCCCATACCTGCATGTCTTTTTGTGCCTTTGGGCGAAAATAGTCCATTTGAAAGGTCTTGCACAACAGCTGGTTGTCATAGGAACAGTCTTCATGGAGCAGAGCGTGACCGAAGGAGGTAGGTTTGTATTTAGGAGTCGTGAGCCCACTCCTAAGTCCCAGTGGTTTTGAATGATAGCTGAATAATGATGTTGAATTGCATTTAGTGGTTCGTGTGTGTTCTTTTTTTGAGGGCTCTTCTAACAGAATCAAGGAGTTGTAACATGGTATATTTTTTTCAACATATGAAAAAGTAAAATGGGTGTTGAGTTTGAAACGTTGTATTCGCCACATGCTAATGCGTTGTCTGCATAAAGCAAGGCAAACATCACTCGCACAATTCTGAACTCTTCTTTACTCACTCATTTTTTACTTTATTTACAGACAAAGAATTCCTACTCGAACATTAAACATAATGTTTTTTGTGAAAGACCAACACAAAGTTGAAGACAATTGGGAAGTGAAAGAGTTGTAGATAATTTAATTTAATTGCGAAAGTATTCAAATCTGACTGATTGCCTTAAGAAGTTGCCGATTGCAGAAGTTGCTGATTGATGAATGATCAAATAACTAGAGTTGTTTGCACTCATGTCTCAAAGCTATATTGCAGGTGTCATTTCTGTGCAGACCCGGGCTATTCTGTGTGGGGTTTGCATGTTTTGCTCCAGCTCTCGGGCTCACCATAACCCAAAACATCCACCATCGGTAAAATCCTGATCAACTACCAACCACTGGGGTCACTGGTACTGCTCTGTACAGTGCTCCTTACAGGGTGCCCTATGGTGACATTAAAGGAGGAGAATAACGTTCACTTCAAGGGGAATGCTATAAATGTACTGCCGTTACTCTCACATTGTTAATCTTTATTTATATAGCGCAGAACAAAGCCTCCCAACCAACAGGTACCAGCAGGCACGGGGAGAACATGCAAACTCCACTCAGAAAGGCCCTGTTACAACCGGGATTTGAACCCCGGACCTTCTTCCCGAGAAGCAAGAGTGCTATCCACTCAATTATTTAACATTTATCTCACCTTTATGACTCTGTGTCAGAGTCTCTTCCCTCCCTTTCAAGTAGAATTTGAGGCACCAAAGCAGAAAACATTGTAGCTTGTCTGTCACTCCATGACCACTGGTGTGCGGTCCGAAATGGCAACCTGCTTGATATGTATAGCAGCTCGTACTTTGCTCATTGTCCCTGTCTCACATCATTTTGGCGACGAGTCATGATCTTTGTTGCAATCATCAATCTTTTCTAAGTATTTTTATGTTCCTGTTGAGCGGACTGACAAAGTGATAAAATGGCTCATAAGTTTAACAGAAGTACTCTTAATGTTTTAATGAGAAGCACAATGACAAACAAATCTGTAATGCATAGTTGAACATTTGCAGTTCATTCCTGTCTTAATAATTTTGCTTTATTCTGCTCTTTGGCAAAATGTTGCCAACTCACCGTTTTACATTCCAAACACAATCAGTCAAAGTAAAGTTGACCGTCAGCAATTAATGTGGATCTTTCACGAGGCCCTCAGGGTTTTGACCAATTTTCACTGTTGCTTTTCAGCCAAAATCCATACTCTGGGTACACTCTGCCTTTGGATGAACTTGTTTGTATGTAATCTCCGCCAGGCCGTGCAGATGCGCAAGACTATGAGACTCAGCAAAATAGTTTGGATACCTCAGCAGTTCACTAAGGCAAAACGTTCCATTTTCCATTGCAAGCAACCTACAGGAAATACATTTAAATGATGGTGTATTGTCTTCATCTGGTGAGAATAAAATCTGTGCTATTCAAAATGTAAAAGAATACAAGTTAAACATAAATGGTCAGCTCCAGATATCAGTTTCTTAAATGAAAACTCCAAAAGAATATTGCAAATGTTCACATATTCAACACCTATAGCTTCACATTAAAAGGCTGTTTTGTCAGTTTCTTTGCTGTGGCCGAAATAAATATTGCATTCTCCAGACGAGGGAGCAGGAGACTCATCTGTGAAGACTCGAGCCTATAGTAAGATTCAACTACAGCCATTGTAACACTGAGAGAGAGCTGTGTATTGTGGTCATCCAAAGTACTCCTTTGTGTTCTCCTCAGTAGGAAAGGAAAACACGTCTTTGATACAATCAGCTCTTTCTCAAAGGACACGCTCTATTCGCTTCTGAATCCTGCCTCTGCTTTTCTGAATCTTAGTCAAAAAGTCAAGATGTCTATGGCGCAAGGACAGAGTGGCTCTCTGAAGGACACATCTATAACCACACTACAGCAGTAGAGAGTGAGGAGTCCTTTGATTGTCTTAAATCACCCTGGTGTCTGAAATGTGTCCAAATTACTGCACTCCTCACACACTTCACCTTTCGAGCTGAGGCTGTACCTTCACTTGCAGCAGCTCACCTTCTGCTCTTCTCCAATAGGTCTGGCATGTGCCTCCTGTACTGGCACCCCCACTCCCAAAAATAACAATTGTAAACTGCTTTGAGACTCCGATGTGCAGTGAAAAGGCGGTATACAAATAAAGATTACTTACTTACTTACTCTAGCCGTAAAAAAAAGTTTCCCACCGTTTTTATTATAAACATACAAACCCTGATGATTACTTACACAATCAGTGTAAGTAATCAGGCTCTCTCACTGGCATGTGAGAGAGCCATACTAACTCTGGTCAAATACAATAAAGCCTGAATATAATAGTTTTTTTATTTTGTGTTTTTTTAATTTGATTTGTTTGTGCATCCAATTTCTATGCTTAGGTGGAGATGGCAACATATCGTTTGCTCAGTTTTTGCCTGAAAGGGTATATTTATTATTTTTCTCTGGCAGGGGAACATGAACATGAAATATAAAAATATTACCACAGTTCAAATTCTGAATATGAATCAGGCATCATTTTTATTGGCCCTGGCCAAGAGAAATATTTACAATGCTAAACTCTTGTAAATTATTGCAAACTTTTTGTAGCAATATGGCATAAAAGCTGACAGCGTTGGTTTAATTTTGACCACTTTGAAGTTGCAAAACCATTTTTGGTGGAATGATTCAGAACATTAATTATCAGATACAAAAACGTATCTCCCATATAATCACTTTCAGACCAATTAAGCACAATTATGTTTTTGGTTCTTTTGAAAGATAAGTAGGTGTGTTAACAGAGCTGCAGGCCATCTTCAGAACTGTCACCCGCCTTGATGACATGTAATTTATGTGCTGATGTTGCTTACTGAGTAGGTTTGGTCAGCCTGATTGACCTGAACAAGCCCCCTTCTGCCCAGCGGTTTCTAGAGGAGGGTGTCCCATGTGTGGAGAAGGAAGGAGCCCTCTTCCTGTCCCGTTCACAATAGTAATTTTGTTTTTGTTCATATTCAATTATGTCAGAACTTGAAATCACTGAAAGAAAAACCTTAAGCGCTTCTTGATTTTCTAATCTAATGACAAAACAACAATTCATAACTCTTTTAATTGTATCAAAAATGGTTTTGATTGAACTCATTGTAGTCTCTAGCTCGACATAGCATATGGAGTTGCAAATTAAACAGGTGGTCACGATGTCTATGTCTAACTAGTGGAAGCAAAAAGTTAAATCCAGTTCAGTGAATCCCAAATGGACTCCCTTGTTAAATCAGACCAACTGTACTCCATGCTCTGTGGATATAGAGCAATGGATCACTGCACATCCGCCAGCGTCACCTAGTGGTTCATGAAAAAAAGGAAATGGCATTTAATTTGATTGTTGTTCATACTTGTAAACATCTGGACATAATATGGGAAAATCCAAATTAAGAACAATCTATTTTTTGTCTAACCATAAACATTGCGCTCTTAAGTCAATCATAACGTCACAAGGTCCTGCCTGGGACATAATGAAAATTCAAACTCACTGTATTTATTGATGTGGACTGTAAAACATTCAAAGCCTTGGCTCACAAACAGCTGCTGGAAGAGCATCTGCAACAACAGCTTTATGTCTGCGTACGTGCAAGAAAGATGTATGGCATTGCGGGAAAGAGACCGGTTTTTATCTGGTTTTGAGTGATCCCCTCTTCCTACTCTGGGACGTGCATATTGATGTGAATCCTTTATCACCTGAACACACATTAAGCAGCTGGTGGAGACCCACTGAACAAGGACTGAAGAGCATCACCATACATCAAGTGATTGATAACAGTGTCTCCAGGCACTCACTCAATTTTACACGTGTCCAGTTATATATAAAAGTCATTCATAATAAAAATACTTATACACTGCAAATTCCTGTGTCTCACCCGTTGTCTCACCCATTGCTGACCTGAAATGACACGCAGCCACGTAATTGCCCCATTGACCTGTAAAGTCTGGTGAGTTTTTCAATAAGATCAAGCACCAAACAAAACCATTAAAAACACTGATTTGACACAGCTTCAGAGACTATGTTCTATATTTGTGCGGTCAAAAGCCTTAGAGAAAGTTTAAAACACACTCAATCAATCAATCAATCAAATTTTTATTTATAAAGCGCTTTTCATACAAAAAGTGTAACACAAAGTGCTTTACAGTTTAGTTAAAAACAATCCAACATGCCCAGCCCTAAACCCACCTCCCCACAGACCCCCCAAAACCACACACACACACACACACACACAAGTATAAAGTCATATCAGGTAAAATAGGTAAAACAATAAAAAGAAATGGGGCTGGGAGCAGATGTAACCGGCTGAAGAAGCGTCATCCAAGGAGCCATCTGCACCAGGAGCAGAGAGCCGGCTGCAGCCACAGGCAACGACACAGGACCCAGAGGAGAGAGGGGCCCCAGACCCCACCAGGCCCAGGACTCAGACCCCATAGGACCCAGAGGAGAGAGGAGGCCCCAGACCCCCACCGGATCCAAGAGCCAGTCCCCCGAAGCCACAGCAGACCCCAGCTCTCAGTGCAGAGGGCTCCTCCAGAGGAAACACTGGGGACACTAAAACAATACAATAATACAATAGAAAGTAGAACAATAAAATGTGAAAATAAAAAGAAAAATGGCAGCTGCCTAATATTGATAATAACAATAGTAAATGGGTAGATACAATAAATAATTAAAAATAGTAAATAATAAAAAGAAATAAAAATATAATCCGTCTAAAAACATAAATAGATGTACTAAAAAGCAATAATAGATAATAAATACTAATCAAAAGCTGCTCTAAAAAGGTGCGTCTTGAGCCTACTCTTAAAAATATGAACGTTCTCTGCGGCCCTGAGCTCCTCCGGCAGACTGTTCCAGAGACGGGGGCCGTAGTGCTGGAAAGATGCCTCACCGTGAGTGTGTGTCCTGACTTTGGGGATGGTTAGGAGTCTGCTGCCGGATGAGCGCAGGGGCCGGGAAGGCTCATAGGATAAAAGCAAATCTGAAAGATAAGAAGGCCCAAGACCATTAAGACATTTAAAAACCATTAAAAGAACCTTAAAATCGATCCTGAAACACACGGGGAGCCAATGCAGCGATTTTAAAACCGGTGTAATGTGGTCCCGCCCCCTGGTCTTAGTCAGGACACGTGCGGCCGAGTTTTGAAGTAATTGTAAACCTGAAATGTTCTTTTTGGGAAGACCAGAGAGCAGGGCATTACAGTAGTCAATGCGACTGATGATAAAAGCATGCATCAGCGTCTCCGTGTTGGCCCGAGAGAGAATGGGGCGGACTCTGGCGATGTTCTTTAAATGATAAAAACCTATTTTTGTGATGTTCTTGATGTGAGGAATAAAAGTCAGCTCAGAGTCAAAGATTACGCCCAGGTTTTTCACTTGTGATGATGGATTAAAAAAGTGTGATTGGAGTTTCGGTAAAAGTTTCTCTCTCTGGGCCTCAGGGCCGATGACTAAAACCTCAGTTTTGTCCTGGTTGAGCTGGAGAAAGTTTTCTGCCATCCAGGATTTCAGGTCTAAAATGCAGTTAAAAAGAGCATCCATTGGCCTGGTGTCGTCAGGAGACACGGAGATGTACAGCTGTGTATCATCTGCATAACTGTGGAAGTCAATTCCATGTCTCCTGATGACACCGCCAAGAGGGAGCATGTACAGGTTAAAAAGGACTGGACCTAAAATGGAACCCTGGGGCACACCACATGTGATTTTATGGACCTGAGAGGAGCAGGTATCCAAACTTACCATGAAGGATCTGTCTGTTAAATAAGAAGTGAACCATTTGTGGACAGCACCAGAGAGGCCGAGGTGTTTCAGGCGGGATAAAAGAATGGTGTGGTCTACTGTGTCGAAGGCAGCGCTAAGATCCAGTAGAACCAACACGGTCACCTTTTTAGAATCATAATTTAGTCTAAAATCATTTAAAATCTTTAAAAGAGCAGTCTCTGTGCTGTGGTTCACCCTAAATCCTGATTGAAATTTCTCTAAAATTTGCTGCTGATCTAAAAAGGCATTGAGCTGGGTAAAAACAAGTTTTTCTAAAATTTTGCTTAAAAATGGTAAGTTGGATACCGGTCTGTAGTTGTTAAAATCATTAAAATCCAAATTGCTCTTCTTCAGAAGGGGCCTCACCACAGCCGCTTTGAAGGCTGCAGGAAAGACCCCAGTCTGAAGAGAGCAATTCATCAGGTTTAAAAGCTCCTCTCTAAAAGATTCATAAAATGACTTAAAAAATGGAGTGGGGACTGGATCTAAAAGACATGTGGTGGGCCTCACTGAGGAGAAAACTTTATCAAGCATCTCAGCATCAACCAGGACAAAACTGTCCAGTGTTTCCTCTGGTGAAGACAAACAATCAGATGTGTTAAAAACAGTTGTGCGGTTGGATAAAATGTTACATCTGATTGTATTTATCTTCCCCATGAAGTGGACTGCAAAATCCTCACAGAGGGAGTCTGTGGGGGTTAAAAGAGACATGCTAAAATCAGGGTTTAAAATGGTGTCGATGGTTGAAAAGAGGATTTTTGGATTATTTTTATAATCCATACCATTTGTTTGTTTTTGTATTGGCTTTACTTCTTATTTTCACTTTTTTTTGTCACAGGCACCAGAAACTAAAGCAGCCAAACCCACAGAGCCAGGAGAGGCTGACGAAGTGTTTGGTAAGATCACTCATAACCTTTCAATCGCTTAAACCTAAAGCTGCATTATAGTGTTTATGTTCATAATAATTATTATACTTCCAATTGCATTTTTCATTCATTCTAAAGTTTTCTTGCTGTGAAGTTGTATCCATTAGCCTATATGATACTGTTGGTTTGTAATACTGGACTTGAGCAGAGGAGGGCAGAGTCCTTTGCACAATGTAGGACACTTGTAGGGCGCGTAATAATGCAGTCTAATGTAAGCCACCTACAGAGGCTTACATTGACTGACTAAATATACTAACTTTAGTCATTGACTGACTAAATATATAATATAATACAAAGTATTTAGTCAGTATAATACAAAGTATTTAGTCAGCCACCGATTATGCAAGTTCTCCCACTTATAATAATGACTGACAGAGGTCTGTAATTTTTGTAGGATTTTTAGAGAATTTATTTGTAAATCATGGTGGAAAATAAGTATTTGGTCACTTCAAACAAGGAAGATCTCTGGCTCTCACAGACCTGTAACTTCTTCTTTAAGAAGCTCTTCTGTCCTCCACCTGTTACCTGTATTAATAGCACTTGTTTGAACTCATCTGTATAAAAGACACCTGTCCACAGCCTCAAACAGTCATACTCCAAACTCCACTATGGCCAAGACCAAAGAGCTATCGAAGGACACCAGGAAAAGAATTGTAGACCTGCACCAGACTGGGAAGAGTGAATCTACAGCAATTATCAGAAAACGGAAGACATAAAAGACCACTGATAATCTCCCTCGATCTGGGGCTCCACGCAAGATCTCATCCCGTGGGGTCGAAATGATCATGAGAACGGTGATCAAAAATCCCAGAACCACACGGGGGGACCTGGTGAATAACCTGCAGAGAGCTGGGACCAAAGTAACAAAGGTGACCATCAGTAACACACTACGACGACAGGGAATCAAATCCTGCAGTGCCAGACGTGTCCCCCTGCTGAAGCCAGTGCATGTCCAGGCCCGTCTGAAGTTTGCCAGAGAGCACATGGATGATACAGCAGAGGATTGGGAGAATGTCATGTGGTCAGATGAAATCAAAGTAGAACTGTTTGGTATAAACTCAACTCGTCGTGTTTGGAGGAAGAAGAATACTGAGTTGCATCCCAAGAACACCATACCTACTGTGAAGCATGGGGGTGGAAACGTCATGCTTTGGTGCTGTTTTTCTGCTAAGGGGACAGGACGACTGATTCGTGTTAAGGAAAGAATGAATGGGGCCATGTATCGTGAGATTTTGAGCCAAAACCTCCTTCCATCAGTGAGAGCTTTGAAGATGAAACGTGGCTGGGTCTTCCAGCATGACAATGATCCCAAACACACCGCCCGGGCAACGAAGGAGTTCATGGAGGAATGGGCCAAAATACCAGCTACTGTGTGTGCAAACCTGGTAAAGACCTATAATAATCGTTTGACCTCTGTTATTGCCAACAAAGGTTATATTACAAAGTATTGAGTTGAATTTTTGTTATTGACCAAATACTTATTTTCCACCATAATTTACAAATCAATTCTTTAAAAATCCTACAATGTAAATTCCTGGACACATTCTGTCTCTCACAGTTAAAGTGTACCTATGATGAAAATTACAGACCTCTGGCATTATTTTTAGTGGGAGAACTTGCACAATCGGTGGCTGACTAAATACTTTTTTGCCCCACTGTATATCATAAATGGCAATCAATGATGATTTGCCACAAGCCCCAACAAAGACTGAAGCATATATGCATATATGATTCTGTCAGCACAGTGGAAGAACACTCTTAGGAACCTATGCAGACACAGCAGGGACATGCAAACCTCTCAGTAGTAAGGCTCAGAGACTGAGCTAATGGTGTCGATCAATTATTCACAATTATTGTAATGACACTTGACGGCTATGGCAGTTGCTGATGATATGGGAAGTGGACTGTAGCTCAGTGTTTGTTCAACACTTGCCAGTTTATTTAAAATATATCCACAACGCTTGCCCCCAAACAAATTCAATACTTTTTGAACTGAGGTACCAAGTCACCTTTTGCTTATAATGAAGTAATTAACTGAAGCTGCCAATGATAAAGGTCGATGTTAGGGGAGAGGTAAGAGATTGTACATTCTTCCTTCATTTTGTCTTTTCTCTTCGCAAATCATTGCGATATCTCACCCTTCCCATGCTGCCTGCTGTTTTGTTTTGCATATGAATTTATCATAGGTTGTGTGTAAGTAAAAAAAATGCTAATAAAGATTCTGGTCACACCAGTAAAAATTAGCCTTCGTTACTCATCTCAACTCTCAATACACAATCAATCAGTGATACTGTGTGTTCATTTTTAAATCAGTTGTCAGCTGCACATATTACTAATGATTTAACCTTCAATGAGACATTCAATCAGCTTACCTTCAACGCACATAATTTGTTCTAATATAATTACTATTTGTCTGCATAGGCAAGATAAGCAAGCCAATTGATATTTACGCTCGATGTAATCTGTCCTCAGTGCCTGCATGTGTTTACCAAGGAGTTTTATACTGCTTTGGAAAAGTTCTAGCTTTCTAAAGTCTCACTAAAATTGATTTTGTCAGTCAATGTACTTCTACAGCTAATTAATGCGCCGTGTGTTGAACAGTATGGGGCTGGTAAAGTCTAGCCCCATGCCTGCCCGGTAATCTTGTGTAGTCTGAAGAGGATACTATATCCAGGACATATGTGATGGTGACACACAGGACTTAAGTGGAATGTAAAGCTCATTACATCATATTTTCTGTATTGCACTATGAGTCAGGGAGGTATTATTATGTAACGTTCAATGAGATGTCCTAACTACACATGCTTTTTCTCTAATAAATCAAAAACAAAATGGCCTGACTCTTTATGAAGCTGCAGCCCTTTTAGTTTACTCTAATTAAAAGTGGGAAAATTCTCTGCAGAGAAAGATCAAACTCCAAAGTCTACCGACATTGTCATGGTAGCTGGTCCTGGGAATAGCATCTGTTTGACTGTAAAATAAGTAAATTGTGGGTTTTATCCATTCCGCTTTCACAGCTAAAGCGAATATATAGAACTGAGATTAAGTGAACTGTAATGAAGACCTACCGCACTGTCAATAATTGTGCTCAGCATCAATCACTGCCGCACATGTGCAGGCGCCGAGTATGCTTTTTAGACGCCCTTTCTATGTGATTTTAGCAAAAACAGAAAGTAGCAAAGCGACTGCCATGGGGTAGAGCACCGAAATAACAAGTTACAAGGCTGAATGTCATATCCTCCCCTAGCCATAGAGTATAAAGATGAATTGAAGTGGCCTTTCTTTTGTTTTGGAATTGAGAATCATAACGAGACCTTTTTTTTTGTGTTGGGCCTGACATATTACTTATCTAGTGAGATGAGGTAAAAATATTTTTGAAATTCAAATATCTCAGCTTAACTTATTTTATCCACTAAAGAAGTATTCGAAAAGAGCATGGTTTATTAATGTATTTTGACATATTTGTTCTTGACATGAAATTCTTAAATATTGCCACTTTAAAGCATACTGATGCCCCTCTCACAGACAGGCCTATATGCAACCCCCCCGCAACTTGAAAAATTCAAGACATGCATTGTTAAAATGAACACAATTATTTAAGTTAACAAGTTTATGCTTCTCTATATACCTTAAGTAGTGGTCCAAATCTTGCTTAATGTTTAACTTGCTGGCCTGAGGATACTGTGGAAAAGCCAATTTTCTTATCACATTGTTGGTCTCAAAGGTGGAACACTGCTCCTGAAGGATGAAGGGTACATTTATAATCCTGCCTTTGACCGATGCTATTCACTAAAGCTGAACTCATTACACAGCATTTGGACAATTCAGGAGACAAGCTCCAAACCCAATAAGAGTTTCCCAACAAATTGAGCGACATAAGCGTTTTATGACTATGGGTCCAAGGTGCTTTAGAGGAGATGTCTTTTGAGTCCGTTAGGGGATGTCTCCGTCCAACTTCCTGTTTGCTCTACTTTTCCATTGAAAGGCAAACACTAGATCAGCTGTGTGGCAGTTAAAAGCCCATTACACATCCATTACCTTTTCTGGACGGCAGCAGGCCCCCACCCAGAACTGCAGACCCTTATCTGAAGGCTTGTTGCATCATTACTTGTCCTGGATCTTTTGTACTGACTTACGTACGTATTTTGTAGGAACAAGCAGGCTTCAAGTACAGCTCCTTTTCATATTAAAACAATGTGCCTTTGTTTACGGGTAACCAGCATTGATTCATGCGCCTTATAATCAGGAGTGCCTCATAATAAATGGTGCGCCTTATAATCAGGTGCGCCTAATGGTGCGAAAAATATGGTATATATAGTTTCACCCAAAACATTTTGACAAACCCAGATTTGAATCTGGACCACTGCGAGGAAAGCGCTGTGACAAAACCACCAGACCACCATCATATACTATATATTATCGACCTCAGGCAGCTTTATCAACTATCAATACAGAACATAGAATCAGACAAAAAGTTTTTATCCGCCTTCAATTGTCTCAATTTTTCAAAGACATCCCAGATACAAATCCTCATTTTAGTCTTTGTTTTGTCATTAATGATTTGAGAGTAATAACAAGACCGTTTTTAGTACTGCGGCCACATGTTACTTTACCAGGGAGTTCTGACAACCTGGATCACGGATTTTCTGATTGGTGAAATGGTGGAAGAGGGGGACATCGAAATTAAAACAATAACAAGATGTACGGGCTGTAAAACCAATTCAAATATCTCAGCTGAACTACTGTTATCAGTTAAAAAGTATTGGAAAAGCATGGTTTATTAATGCCTTTTGACAGATTAGTGCCATTTAATGATGACTTGATATGCAAATCTAACATATTGCTACTTTAAATGGGACAAGGAATCCAGGAGAAATGAATAGCTCTTGACAGAGTCTGGTCTACACTGGTGCTTATGTAGTTCCTCATGCTTTTGTTGGAATAGAATTGCGTCTGAATATTCTCCTCAT